GATAGAACTGTGCCAGCTAACAAACCGGATATCATCCTCAGGCATAATGGGGAAAAATGGTGTAAGTTAATTGAGGTATCCGTGCCGGCAGAAAAAAACACCACAGCCAAAGAAGCAGACAAAAGGCTGAAATACAGAAATTTGGAAATTGAAATAACCAGGATGTGGGGAACAAAAACTGAAACGATTCCGGTCATCGTGGGAGCATTGGGAGCCATGCCAAATTCAATAAAAGGAAATTTAAAGAAGATTATGAAGAACCTAAAAGAAGAAACCATCCAGGACATCGCACTATGTGGGACGGCCCACATTCTTCGGAAAATATTATAAATAGCACCACCGATATTCGAGTATTTGTCCCTAAGAAATCGGGTAGAGACCTGGGATAAATGCTTAAAAACCCCGACAAATAGGAGCCTTGTCGTGTTTAAGAGTGATAATAATAATAATAATACGTTAAAAACTAATTTTTATTTAATTAATTAATTAATAACGTTAATTATTTTTTTAATGGCAACGTGGGAAATTATTATTATCATCATTCACTCGAAACTTTTTTTTTTTATTTTCTTCTTCTTCTTACACGTCATTTTTTTTTTTTTTTAAAGACGACAAACAAACGGTTGATTTTCTCTAAATCGATTCCGATGATAATAATGATGATGATGATAACGTAAAAATCAATTTAAAAAAAAAAAAAAGAAAGAAAGAATAGAAAACAAATATGGCGGATAAATAAATATAATTCCCAAAAAATTAAAAAAAAAAAAAAAAAAAAAAAATCCCCGATGAGGGAAGAAAAACAACAACAACTTTGAAGTGGTAAGGAGAGTTCTGTGTCGTGAGTGAGGGGGTGTGCGAGTCGGGATGAGGGGAGAGAGAAGGGGGATAGAGGGATAGGAGAGGGAGGGGAGAGGGGAAAGGGGGGGCGGGAAAAGGGATTCGCAAATAATTGCGGGTACGGAAAATATTGGCTGTCTAAAAATTAAAATGCGCAAGTCGGTTGGATGCCACAGTAAAACTGCAGATGATGAAGGGCGGCCATTCGGCGGTTGTTTCGCTTCGTGTAAATAACAATATTTTTTAAAAACATTTATTTATTTATTTATCATCATTATTATTATTATTATTATTATTATTATTAAATTAAATTGTTTTTTTTTTTTTTTTCTGTGACGTGTGTTTTTTCGTGAAAAACGCGAAATTTTTTTTTTTTTCTTCTCGTTTATTGTGTGAATTTTTTTATTACGTCGTCGCGTTTTTAATTATTTTCTATTTGAAAAAAAAAAAAAAAAAAAAATTTATTCGAAATGATCGACAAAAATACGTAAAAAACAAACAAACAAACAAACAAACGAATAATAATAATAATTTATTTTTTATATACATAAAAAAATTAATAAGTAAATATTTTTTTCTTATCATTCTTATCAATTCGATTTTTTTTTAAATAGGGAAATGATTGTTTATGTTTATTATTATTATTAT